TTAAGGCCGATCCGTATCTTAAGGACAGACCGAGTTCGGCGTGAAGGGCACGACGAGACCGCGCGTGAGTGCCAACGATCTAATTAAACAGCCGTGCAATTAGATTTTGCCCCGCGGTCGTCCCAGTTTAACAACCGGTATACGTAGAATATACACGCGGTACGACAAGTGAACTTGCAAAACCTACTTTGCACTTCATACATCTTACTTTGAAATTTTCGCGTCAATCGTGATTAGGTATCGTTAGTCAATCGTTCATTTCAAGCCGGTTTCTCGTTACCATCAGTCAGTTGTTCGATCTATGTTATTTACTACATGACTAATTGTTGCCGATGAATAAGCATAAAAAGTGCTTCCTAAGACAGTTCCAACATTTTGATCAATTAATGAGATTTTATTAAACAGTTTTTTTTTATATAATTATACATATATTATATATACTTATTATTAAACATAAATCGATTCTTTATTTTCAATATTTAATTGCTTATTTATACTTAATGATTAATTTATTGGTACAATGAGTAACCAATTGTCGAAGAGGAAAAATTGGTACGTGATACGGTCAGTTAAATAAAATATAAGTAATTGTAACTGCAAATATCTTATAATGATAATAATGAATCAATATTCAGCCAATAATCAATCTATATATATGTTGTAATTAATTTTGAAGTTTTTTGTATTATTGACTTAAAGGATCAACACAATTTTAATACGAAATCCATAACCGTAAAGATTTTAATACCTTAAAACATTTGTTAGCTACGAGAGTCTCGCAACGTATGGAAGGAGTAGTGAGTGGTAGCTCCATTCTCGCGATTTAACTGCATCGATATCTCGCTAAAAATATCGCGTTCGAAACCGCGCCCGTGTAACTCTGCTACGATAAATTCGTTACTCTCTCACAGATAAGATACATTTTTATTCTACTTTCGGCCGTGCGCGTAGATAAAATATTTCCGAAGCGCATGGTATCTTTTATATACCGGCTGCATTTAGACGCTCGATTTAACTGAAATGCGAGCACGCGTAATAAAGAATAACTCGCGGGCTCTTGTATCTAGAAAGGCGAATATACTACATCGCTGTGTGATAAAAGTAAGAAGAGTAAATTCCCTCTTCCGCGATTAACGCGATAATTAGGATCTAATACCTCGGGAACGGGTCGAGCAACCCCGCCCATTTACTAAATAATGGAAAAATAAAGAATTCAGGGCACCAATACTTGCCATACGCATAAAATACTGCGCCGTTTCTATCAGAGATCGGAACTGGAATCCTTTACCGCGTAGCAGTTATGTTACCCAAATCGAACGTGGTGGTCGAGGGTTAAGGCTCACCGCGTGCTTCGAATTTCGACGAGCAGCCGTGTGCGCACAAAGAGAGAGGGAGAGAGAGAGAGAGAATCTCTCTTGATCCTCCGAAATAAAATCACTGCGCGTTATCGCCGTTAACGATCCGGATAGAATATCGAGGATCGCGTAACCGCGCGCCAGGTATATAGGTACCTCCGCACGGTCGCAATTTGCAGTAACTGTTTCTCGGAACGGAACAACTTTTTTTTTTTACAAACGCACATTTATTAGCGCGACCGTGCGCGTCGATATGGAGCGCGCGCGGAAAATACATAGCAACGTCCGCAGATAATACCATGCTGCCTTACGACTCTGCCGACGAGCGACTACAATGAGAATAAATAGGGCAGCAGTGGCTGTGGATAGCTCGTGAGAGAAAATAAAAATAGGCCCGAGCGATCGCTGTTTCCACGCGTCGTAAACCTACGAACGAGGAGAAATAAACTCCGAAATGACACTGCTCGATCTTCCACGAGCTCGCATGTATTCGCTGTCAGTCTTAAACTCGGGACATATCTTACGGAAACTTCTGAGAATGTTGAAAAGTTCGTAATATTGTGCGTTAAAAAAGTTGATCTTCGAAAAAAATGTGCGTTGAATTGTCATTAAGTTTTTAATATTGGAAAAAGTCCTGTTGAATTAATTGGAATTCTAGTAGATTCAATCCGGAATGTATAAATCAGACACTTACATGCAATTAAATCTATGAAACATTCTATCTCATTCAAGATAACCAGAAATTCAATTATACGATAATCAGAATTCTAACGTATATGATTAAAGTTTGTTACGTTTATACTTCTTGTTGGTTATAAAATCAAAGTTTTTTTTTCTCAGTATGTGAAGCAGTATTCTTTTTATTCAAATTGGATCCACGAGTAGAGTTTCATAATATTTTTACCAGTCATTTGTTATATCTAAGCCAACATCGTTAAGCATATCGCAATCGCTTTGCACGTTTCAAAGGTTAATTAATCCCAGACAAAATTATTTTCGATACGGTACATGCGTCCAAACACATCGTGACTTATACACGCCTGTGGGCTGATATAAATTGCCTCCTCCGCCCACTCAAGTGCCGTCTTTAATCGCGGCGACCAGATCGATCATTCGGCGCGACTACTCGCGATCTCGCGCGATAATTAATATCCGAGCGTCGCGATTTACGCGACGGGTGGATAACAATCGTAGCAGAAGACGAGGAGAAAGAGGAGAGTAGGAAGCCGACGTAGGCTCCCCCGGCGTAGTTATATGGAGGGTACACTGTCCGCGAGTCTCGCACGCGTGCCTTTATTAAATATTGCGTTTAAATGACTCTGTAACGGTCGACGAGACGCATAGTCCGCGCTAACGAGCGCCACGACAGCGCTCTAACGAGGCGCTCGACGCCCACGCGGTTTTCTGGGTTTCAAACCACGCCAATTTCCGGAATGACTCCCTCGGTGTAACGTCAACATGGCACCACTTTTCCACGAAACACACGCATTACCGTTGTGACAAAACTGTAAATTGAATATCGATCGTGTTCCGTGTCGGTCCCCGTAACTTATACGACCGGCACGTCCGTGTCGTGTCGCCGATCGTTAAACCCAGCTCGGAAATGAGTTCCAGCGACTCAGTAACGTGAGGACGAAACTGTCGATGGGATAGTTTGGTGTCAATCGTACCATCGATAGTAAAGTAAGATAGTAAACAGGACATTGACAAACTTGGAACTATCCTTCACCAATTCTGAATGAGCTGTGGATATATTTAAAAAAAAGTCTAACTATTAAATGTGTGTGTGTGTGTGTTGTGTGTGTGTGTTAAGTAAAATAATTTTAATCAAATCTTTTTGGTTAATGTGTAATAAAAAATAATTTTAACTTTCTAAATATTTATAATTTTTTTAGTTGTTTCAACATCTAAACTTTAAAATAAATATAGATACAAAAATTATTTTTGCTCTACAAAGCCCATCAAAATCGGTGTAAAACAGTTCCGACAGTTCTCTTGTAAAAAAAGAATTCCAACAAGAAACATGAATAAAATGTGTATTCTGATCATGTCAATCAAAATTCTGATAATTAAATTTGTGACAATCTCAACTAGAATATTTAATAGATTTGACTATAAGTATTTGATTGTACCTTTGTGTGTGATGAACCTATCAGAATTTCAATTAATGCAATCTGATTTTTTTTTCAATGTAAATCCTGATACATAGAACGATGATACACATTTTAACTTGCCTATATTATTCGAGAATCTTGTCAATATTTTTTAAATTTATATATGCCACTCGCAAAAAGCAGACGTCTAAAAAAAACGAGAAATGTTTATGTATAATCTATCATTCTTCAAGTGACATACGATGTCACGGCGCAAAAAATCATTGCGATTATGAAAGTACAAAAAACTACGAGGGTCGTAGATACTCGATGTCAACACAGTGAATGTCACATGACATTAGTCGATGACGTAAAAGACAAAATCACAGCTTGTAAGCAGGAGAATATCATTTCGTGCTAAGCGCGTATTTCAGTTGCCGGTGTCACCTGTCGGCACGCTATCACGACAAAATACCAGGTTCGCGATGAAAATTACTTCGCTCCGTGACCGGCGATCAAACGCGATCGGATCGAACGTATACAAATGACAATCGACCTCGTCCGAAGGCTATAAAACTTACCGTCACCGTTCACACGCGTGATACAAATATATCCGTAATTTTATACAAAATTGCTGCTCATTATGCGTTATTATCAGCTCGAGAGAACAAGTTAACCGGCGTTGTTTTTGTCGGACAGCAAAACTTCGCCCCACATAAGTCATATCGTTACGCGATCACGAGATGCACAAAAAAATCAATTTGATTTAATCACTTATTTTGAATAACGCGACACTGATGGTACGGGGATATAGAATTGCGTTACGATTTTACGCACTCGTGCAGTTTGTAGCGGCACAAAGTTGCGGTTAAATAAATTAATAACAATTATAGTCGAGAATAATTGACGCCACTAACGATATTGTGCATTAATTAAAATCGCCGACGAACGAATGAGTACGCTTACCGTGCATATTATCGACATTTAACTATTATTGAGCAATTTAATAATCGATCAGATTTTAAAATAATTGTTAGTAATTAGTACTGATCAAATATTGAGACACCGTTGTTGTAAATATAATTTTGTAAAGAAGGACAAAGTATTTTTTTTCAATATCTACATATATATCTTATCATATTTTTCTCTTTTCAAGAGAGATTTTTTTATTTTTATATAGTTATTATTATTTGTATTTACTTTTTAGCTGTTAACTAATAGTTTTTCTCTATTAAATTAATTAAATACAATAACCATTTCCAAAATGTTTCGCTATAAACGTAGAACATATTTCTGAAGTGCCACAAGTTTCCAATATTTTGGATTCGGTCACTTACAAGATTTCTATGCTGACAAGAGGTGCGTTCCACTTGACGCTTGCAACGCTCATGGAATCATTTCATCCTTGTTGTTTATTAAATGTTAAACAAGGACAAATAACGCTCGCAAGCGTTGTGAGCGCCAAGTGGAACGCACCCAAGACAGTCACATATGTAATTATTACGGTCTAGTTAGTAGAATCAAATCGCAAATAATCGAACGTGACACTCACTGTGCATATCGTTGGCGTCTGTCCATGGACTTTATTGCTGTTCGAAGGAGGCTCCGGCCCTTTCGGAACATCCAGATGCGTTCGAGATGGTAGAGGCGACGAAGTAGGAACGTTACTCGAATTTGGGACGTGACTCGTCGGTAGTGGCGTGCCAAGTGGAAGATCTGGCCGGAAAAACCACGTGGGCCACTGTAACGAAAAGCAAAGTCGATTTTATTCGAGACATTCATTTTTCCTACATATTTTCCGTCAGTTTATTGATAACGAGATTGAGAATAAGTTACGCATGTCGAATGTGTCAAATTTTTTTTTTACTGATTACACACACATATTCTTGATTGAATTTACTAAATATATTTCATAAAGTAGAAACATATAATTTTGAGTGGACATTACCTTTTATAATTTACAACTTTATGGTAAAATATCTTGATTAAACAGGATTAATATATAATAAGATATTTATTGAAAATACAGATCACTTTTACATATAATCTTTTTATAGTTACATTTATGTAACTATAAAAAGTTTACATTTATGCACATAATTTTTAACTTTTATCGTCCAAAATGAGTTCCTAAAAGAAATTACCATCAATATAAATTTCTTTTCACGTAGTACTTAAAGATTAATTTATAGCCAGTATTTTTCTTTCCTTTTTGTCGCTTATCGCTTCCGACAGCATACGGCAACTGTATTCTTGACGCGGAAGGAATAACGATGTGACGAAACGGCACTGCGATCTTATCGGAATCATCTCGTTAGCGATAAAATAAAACCAGCTGACTGTACGAAACAGAAATCACCTATCTGTCAACGCAAAATTCGTTACGTCAAAAATATTTCCTTAAGATTATACGTTGGCAAGCAATGAAGAATAAATTATAAACATTGTTCGTATTTTTTTAAGTAAAATCTATAATAACATTCTTGTGTGTGTGTGTGTGTGTGTGTGTGTGTTGTTGGGACGAATTCATTAATCTAAATCTTGTTTAAATCTTATGTACATGTCTAATTAACTCGTTTCTCAAGCCAAAGTGAAACTTTTTAATTTCTTTGCATGATATTTAATTCGTAATACCCAACTATTTATATGTCAGTTTATACGCGTCAACTTAAAAAATAAATACACACTCCGTAGATTATATCAAGATATTAAATCTTATTTATACCTGATAGCAATCTAAAATTATAAGCTGAAATAGATAATTAATAATATGTTCGATGTAGACAAAGTTACTTATCTCTGGCATGACAGATGTATGTATATGTATAGCGATAAACATTACCGTTCAGAAATTTATATACCTATATTTGAAAAACTACTTCACGAGAAAGTAACATAATCTTTCTACAAATTTACAGTTACACAAATGAAACGTAATGCCGACTGCTATAAACATTTAAACCGAGAGTGGAGCACAATAGAGGGGGGGTTAATAAACGAGCTCATCCATTTCATCGCTCATTACATCGTGATGTGCACGGAACCCAAAGGTCTCTCTGCTGTTTCGGTGGATAAAGGTCCCACTGTGAGCGGTGCATTGGAGTGTCGCCGCGACTGAATATGAGCGCAGCTCCCTAAGATAGATGACATAAGCCCCTGACCCTGTAAGAAGCGCACTCGCCGAGCGCGAGGTCGTCGCGCGTGTGGTCCATTGAAAGTGTTTCTTATAGAAGAACCGGCCCGCTAAGAGAGAAGATGTGCTCTCGGGAAGAGAAAAGGAGCCTCTCTCGTTGCGTGCTCTCGCGCTGCGCGTCCCGTTTTCACCGTGGTACGCGGTAAGGACTTTTTGATCGTCCTCGACGGAACCGGTGAGGTTGCGACACGAATTCCATCCGATTAATCGTGGCCGCGTGCGCGATTCGATCCGCCCCGATAAAAACTCTCTGCTACCAGACTTATCGTTCGTTCTAGCGCCGCTCTGTCGCGTATTTTCGATTTTCTTTTTCCTCGGCGTCTCTTCGTCAGGACTATCACGAAAATAAGTAATCCGTAAAATATGAGACCACTGCTCTAGCAAAAAAGATTCTGCACCAATCTTTCAGTGTATCGAAATCGAATTATCCACCGATAGCGCGTGTCGCGATGCGGTCTTTTCTGCGTCAAATTTCCGTTTATATACCGTGGAAAATCTTACGTCACGTCGTTGCTGTAATACACCGTGCGTTTTAGTTATTTTCGTGCCCGAAGGCTTAGCATCAGCGCACCATCAGGCACTATTGGTCACGACGCAGTGTAGAAAGTCAGTTACCCGGTGGAAGGGACACAGGAGGGGGAGGAGAAAAACGATTTCAGGGTGGTCTGGCGAATGTCTCTTGTCGTTGGCTCGCGCGGGATTTAACGCCAAAACCGAAATAACAAACTCCTAAAGCCCGTGAGTTAACGCGCTACTTCGCACCGTTTCGACGCTAGTGATATTTTCTGTTTACCGTAACGGTAGTCCACACGCCGCGAAAATAGTTCAACATCGATGGACTCGAGACATGGGCATTTTAACTCTCTCCAAACTGGAGCGTTCAAACTTAACGAATAAATTGTAATTCGACATCTGTGACAACAGCTACAATCTCTTTTCCCGAATATTGCGTTTCATCGTGTATTATTACATATTTAAATAATTATTAGTGACATATTAATTGTTTTTAGAGACATTTTCATTTAAAAGTTAACAAAATTTAATTTAAATGATAATAATAAATGTAAAATTAAAAATAATTAATTTTTAGCCATCTCTCTTAAATACACATTCGATATATTTAATATAAAAAGATCGACATTTTACAAATACTTTAATCGAGATTTTTCTCTAGAAAATGAAGATAAACTACAAATTTGTGGCAAAAATTGCGATTGGAGTGGCTCTAGACATCAGAGAGATGTATTCTATCTCAGCGTATACGATGCGAAGTATTATCGCCATTTTTTCCGCTCTAGTATGAGAGCAACAACGGTATTTGCGCGAGGAAGCCGCGTGTAATATCGGGCGGACTATTTTTATACGAGGGATATGCTCTCGAAAAACGCGGCGTGGTATTCTCCAAATTCCACGCTGGCGAATCATCGTTCTGACCGGCCATGCGCTATAATATACATCCGCCCGAATATTCCGTTTTCAGACGAGAATATCGGATAAAACAATTTTGTCGTCACGGAAGTTACCATCGATGGTCGAAATAAATAAATAAGATTATATTTTTTTCTGAGAGATACTTTATGAACTTATAAATTCTACGTAATTTAAAATACAATGGAAAATCACACAGCTAAAAAGTAGTCTAGTTGGAAGTTAATGTATTATATAATACGTTATTTTATTCGTTTTAAGCTTGAGAATGTGTTTTTAATATAAGATAATGTGTGACGTTATATTAGGTATATATTATGTAAAAGGTACTTGGAAGAGTTAATAACATCAATGAAAACGTTTATGAGGTATACGATCAAGGATCGTGCTTGATTGCGCAGAATCCTGAAGACGTTTTGTATAGCGAACAAAAAAGTACCTGCAGTCACGAAATGTCACATGTTCGATCCATGACAAGGAGCGTGACTACAATCGACTCTCTCTCTCTCTCTCTCTCTCTCTAATCGCTAGGAATTCCTCATAAATCAAGGAAGGAACGCGCGTCTCGCAACAAATCGCGATTTCTTAACGTACGTTCATAAACAATTGATTTTTAGAAAAAATATTTAGCAGTATCAAAAATAAAATAATAATTCAAACTTTGAAACATTCGGAAATTACTTTAGACAGCAATCGCAAAAAAAATTCAAGTCATTTCGAATGTCGTGTCAATTGCACGGAATTGAATTAAAAATTATCACGGAAAAAATTATTGTGAAGTATCTTTAGCAGAAAAACACAGACCTGAAAATAATTCTGTCGAACCATTTATGACACTGAAACATGATGAGCAATACTACGAACGGTTTGGGTAACCAATTAAATGGAAATATATTTAGCTATAATAAATTTTTAGCTAAAATAAAGCCTAAAGCGGCTTCAGCAAGATCATTTCCGTGTGGTGCAAAAATTCGTATATAGGATCAAGCGCGTTCAGAATTAAGTCTCGCGCGGCAATTTATCAGAATTTCACGCGAGCCACACGCCGCGAGAGGATCGCTTTGCGATTTTCCACGGTTACACGGGAAGTGACATTATTCGTATTGCGTCGGGTGGCGATGGTTCGAAATTTCCAGAGGTTGCGTCTCGCGTGTAATGACGAAGTGAGGATGACCCGACGAGAGGAACACGAGCCGAGCACCGCTTTATTAACGAGCGGTCTGGAAGAAAGCCGACCGACTGCGTGTATCTATGCGTTTAACGCACGTAATATACAGGCATGTTGCGCATATATTACGTTACACGTGGCGTAATATACGGATACACGCGCACGACCTCCCCCCAATAGACAATAACGACGAGGACGGTCGTGCAGGTAATTGCCGCCATTAGGACGTTGTACCGCAAATGACTAAATAACGAATTTATGCTTTCCTGAAATCCTCGTAGAGGCCTTTCATAGACCGAGAACGTGCACTGCTAATGGAACGTCCACGCTTAAATTATGAGAATTAACAATCCCCGGTGCAGCGATTCTAATCGCTTGTTTATTTCGATAGAAATTTCATAGATGAGATGTATTTCGAGATTTTTCATAAAGCGAGACATCGTGTAATGCATTTCGATGGTGGCGTTTCTTAAGAGTCTCATACATTTTATAGATATACATTAAAGAAAACGAGTAACTTCCGCAAAGTATCCCTCCACTTGCGTTTCAACGAGTATACAGTATATCTCAATATCGCGAGCAACGTTTACCCGGAGTAGCGTAATGTGTGGCAGCCTGGAGGAAACCTCAGCGCTATACTCGATACATTGAAGCGGTTTTGCTGCCGAGAATAAGTGAAAATTACGGTAGCCCCTCCCCCCCACCCCTCAGGCGAAGGATGTTATCGGCCGTTATGACCCGGTGGGCGAATGCCGTTCCGAGACAACATTCTATACCGTTTCGGACACGCCGCGTCGCGGAGGGGGCCCTCTAATCGCGCTTTTCACCGAACATTGCACTTACGTCAGCGCAATCCGGCGACGGTATCAATTTCATAGGCGACGCGCTACCGCGAGCGCGCCGCGGGATAACCCGTGCCGTAAAAGCGCCGAGGAGTTCAGCCTCGTGTTCG